ATATATATATATATATATATATATATATATATATATATATATATATATATATATATATATATTAATCGTTAATTGAATAATCTTTAATTACTTTCACTCGTTTTAATCGTTAATTCAACAGTTTTTAATTGAATTATTTCAAATTAATCATTAATTGAATGATTTTTTATTAGATTTCTTGAAGTGGTTAATTAAAATATTTTTAATTGAATAGGCTTATATTAATTGTCAATTAATTGAATTAGAAATTATTTACTCAAATAAATTATTAAATTAAGGCAAATTTAATTGATATTTTTACAACTCTGCTGCTAATAATTACTTCAGATGATTTTTCTCATTCACGTTTTAATTCATTTGATGTTAGTTTACGATTTTTCAGATAAATTTGATTGAGAACTCGATCGTCTACTGCAGTTATACAGAATTTCTTTACTTTACCCTTCATTTATTCTAAATTTCCTGTTTCTTAGTATTTTCTTAGGAAACTTGCTGTTGAATTTAATTTTGGTTGCTATTTTTCACGTAAAAAACCTTTCTTTATAAAGTAACAATAATACTATTCATTTTCGAACTTATTTCAATGCTTCGGTCAATTTTGGAATATATATAAAACGAAAGGATTCATTGAAGAATAACATACACTTGCATAATGTGAAAACAGATAAAACATGATCATCAACTCTCGGTTTCTGCATGAATACTAATTAAAGAAATACGTATGCCACAACAAAAATATTTCACTTACATTAAGTACTTCTACTTTTCTAGAGTATTTCTACGCATGAATAATTTTCAAGATAATGCAATAATTAATGCTAGTACTGTATGTATATCAAATTATGTGCGACAATAGCAGTAGTGATGTTATTTATACCTTTCCGGACTCTGTAGTAAGATTCAAGACAAAGTCGTAGCAATAATCGAGCTCCTCTCGTGTGGTCATTTTTTGCGCTTCTCGGCGACTCGATAAAATTTATCGTTTCTGTAACAAGTTTACAAACAACGCGCCACAAAAGTTTGCTCCAGTTAGAATAACGTCCGAATTGCGATAACGTCGTTATTAAAGCATCATTGCCACCCCCACTATGAGCTTTTGTCCACTCAACTTGATAGGAATATTGAATCTCTTCAAGTATTTCTCTATGCTCTCTGCAACATGTTATTGGTAGAGAGTCAAACTTTTTATTTCTTAACCTTTCATGGAAAAATCGACCTTGAGATAGTGGATCATTTTACTGACGCGTTAACTTAAACGTAACTAGAATAGATATGATTTAATTTGAAATAATATCCGTAGTTAATCTTTTTATTCTTCTTGTAGGAAAAAGTAACGTTATGCAATATTTTAAAATGGTTTAATCGTTATACTTGGCGATAAAATGCAGCGAATAAGTAATCCTTTTTTTCTTAAATTCACACTATGTTGCGTTCGAACGTTGATTCATTGTATTGTCACAGAGATTGCTCGAATGGATAGAAAATTATTTATTATTTATATTTATTATATCATTCTCGAACATGATGCGGCGAAGAAGGTCGATTTGAAGCAACATTGAAGCGTGTACGATTATATGGTTATGATGATGTTTATTTGAAAAGAAAAATGTATAAAAGTGGCCGATTTTTGCCTCTAATCGTACTCTGAGAAAGAAAGTGATTGGATTGACAAAATCGGCGGTCACTGTCCATTAAAGAAATATTGGATTATTTTGAGAAAATTACGAAAAGTTGTTTTCGACTTTCACAATTTTGATTTTCAATTATCTTTTCCGTGCATTTCGCTTTGGAAAGTGTGTAATACGATAGAAGAGAATCTCCTTGCCAGAAAGGAGGATATCTAAAAGTGGCCGATTTTTGCCCCAAAGATGGAACGTAAAATTTACATAATTTCTTATAATATTTTTTCCGTAGAATCACGTAGTGACATCCATTTGCTGTCAAAATATGGGAAAAATAGATAAAAATGTCAAAAATTAGCCATTTATGACTCCCCACTTTTTATTTCTATTTATTTCTTTTATTTACAGTTTTCTGTTCGTAGAATCATGAAATAAAATTCATTTGTCCTTAAAATAAATTGAATCATTTTTCGACATAGTGCTCCTGACAAATGTTTCTTTTTTAATATTGTGAAGTACAAAAATGCGCGAAATCAAGATAGAACGTAATCTAATGCTAGAAATAATCGCGAGCTACAGCAGACAAGCTCTTCTAAGAAGCGGACTTAACGCATGCTACACTGAGAAAAAAGCGGTTAAATTGACAAAATTGGTGGCCATCAAAGAAATATTGGATCTATTCAACAAAATACATGTAATGCAGCAATAAGTTGCGTTGGAATCTACTATATCAATTTTTCCCATATTTTGGCAGCAAATGGATGTTACTACGGAAAAAATATTATAAGAAATCATGTAAATTTTACGTTCCATCTTAGGGGCAAAAATCGGCCACTTTTACATATCCTCCTTTCTGGCAAAGAGATTCTATCGTATTACACACTTTCCAAAGCGAAATGCACGGAAAAGATAATTGAAAGTCAAAATTTTGAAAGTCGAAAAACTTTTCGTAATTTTGTCAAAATAATCCTATAATATCCCAAATTTGTTGCACAAATTGTTATAAAGAAAATATTAAAATATTATTTTATGAAAAGGAGTAACCTATCTCTGTATCAGATAATATCAATACCGACGGTAGATGATGAAAATACATAGATAATTTTGAAATGTGTGTGTACGTAGTATATCTCTGTGAAAAATCGTATACGAAAAAAATTTCTTTTTTTTTTTTTAAGAGAAAAACTGAAGAGAAAAACTAATCTTTGATCCCGCAAATAAAATTCACAAAAATTTGTTGCTAGTTTTATGGATTTTTTTGAAGTACGTAATTTTTACTATAAATCACGTCCTTATTTTTGGGGGAATAGTGAGGATGTTATAAAATAAAAATCTAATAATGGTTTCTTATAGTAAATTTATAATAGACACTTTAACTTTGAAATTAAAAAAAAGATACTTGTACGACGATTTTTCACGAAGTAATACTCATTCAAATTTTATTTCTGCTTATAATTTTTTTATGCTACATTTATTTTGAGTGCATACACAGACACACACGCACACATGTATGTGTATATGTGTATGTGTGTGTAACTTAATTAATTAATAACTTTTTAATGGTACATTTTCATTTTAAGCATTACGACTTATAAGTTTTCTTTCTCCAATGTAGAATCAAGGTCCAGGTGGTTCAATCGGACAAGGACCTACATCTCAGCAAGGCCCTGGAGGACCATTAGTGTCAAGTCAAATTGGACCGAATGGACCACAGAGTGCACCTCACATGATGCAAACCGGCCCAAATCAGATGAGTTCTAATGGACCAGGACAAATGGGTCCTGGTACTTCTGGGCAAATGGGTCCCGGTGGACCTGGACAGATGGGTCCCGGTGGACCTGGGCAGATGGGTCCCGGTGGACCTGGGCAGATGGGTCCCAATGGACCTGGACAGATGGGCCCTGGTGGACCTGGACAAATGGGTCCTGGTGGACCTGGGCAGATGGGTCCTGGTGGACCTGGACAAATGGGTCCCGGTGGACCTGGGCAGATGGGTCCTGGAGGACCAGGACAGATGGGTCCGTCTCATATGGTACAGGGAGGAGGGCCTCCTGTTGCATCTCACATGAGTCAAGCTGGTCCAGGACAAATGGGTCCAGGTAGTGGACCTGTTCCAGGCCCTCAAATGGGCGCCGCAGGACCCCAAAACTCGCAAATGGTTCCCGGAGGTCCCGGACACATGAGCGGACCTCCAAGTCATATAAACGCAAGTGGACCACAAGGACCAGGTCATATACCGGCCAGTGGTCCATCTGGTCCAGGACATATGGGCGCGGGACCGCCAGGATCAGGGCACATGAACGCCAGCGGACCACCTGGATCCGGACATATGAATGCAACTGGTCCTCCCGGACCAGGCCACATGAACACTAGTGGACCTCCTGGACCAGGCAGCCATATGAGCACTGGTCCTCCTATTCCGAGTCATATAAACGCTAGCGGTCCGTCTGTTTCTACGCATATGAACGCAAGTGGTCCAGGAAGTCACATGGGTCCTGGCGGACCTGGCCAAATACCTGTAGGTGGTCCCGCAGCACACAACATAGGTCCTGGAGGTCCGAATCCAATGGGTCCTAGTGGTCCTAATCAGATAATACCAAGCAGTCAAGCACAAATGGGACCAAGCGGACCAATGGGTCCTGTTGGACCGGCAGGACAAATTTGTCCGAACGGACCTGGACAAATGGGTCATAATGGATCATCGCAGATGGGTCCAAACGGTCCTACGCAGATGGGCATGGGCGGTCCAACCGGACAAATGGGTTTGAATGCTCCAGGTGGACAAATGGGTCCCGGAGGGCCAGGTAACCAAATGGGCCCAACCGGAGCGGGTAACCAAATGGGATCAGGTGCGCAGGGGAATCAGATGGGACCTTCCGGTCCAACAGGTCAAATAGGACCTGGAAGCGGACCTGTGGGACAATTAGGACCAAGTTCTCTCGGTCAAATGGGTCCAGGTGGTGCGCCAAATAACGTACCGATGACGACAAGTAGCGGACCTGTTGGTACTATGGGTCCGGGAAGTGGGCCTAATGGACCTACTGGAGTCAATACAGTTAGTGGGCCCGGTGGGCAGATGACTTCCAGCAGCGGTCCCGGGGGACAGATTGGCTCGGCAGGTCCCGGAGGTGGCTCTGGTGGTCAAATGGGATTAGGGAACGGTCCCGGAGCACAAATAAATTCTGGCAATGCATCTGGTGGTCAAATGGGACCAGGTGGAACGCAAATGGGACACGGTGGTAATGGACCTGGAGGGCAAATTGGACCAGTAAGCGGACAGATGGGACCAGCAAGTGGTCCTGCTAGTCAAATAGGACCAGGAGGACAACTTTCATCCGGCGGACCAGGACAGATGATGCAAGGAGGTCCTGGTACTCAGATGGGTCCGAGCACTCCGAGTAATCAAATAGTACCTGGTGGACCTAATAGTCAAATGGGACCGTGCGGTCCGAATACTCAAATCGGCCACGGAAATGCAACTGGACAAATGGGACCTAATGGACCAACTGGTCAGCCTTCCACCACTCAGATAGGTCCAAGTACTCAAAATCAAAACCAAGTTCCCGGCAGCACGGCGCCTATAGGCTCGGGTGCTCCGGTGAATCAAATGAGTCAAACTGGAAGCGGACAGATCGGCCCTACAGGACCTACAGGACCTCCTGGGCCTGGTCAAGAAAATTTGAACGCACTTCAAAAAGCGATCGATTCTATGGAAGAGAAAGGTCTACAGGAAGATCCACGGTATTCGCAGTTATTAGCTCTGAGAGCTCGTCAAGGTAGCGGAATGGGCGAGAAACAATCTTTTAGCTCACAACAATTACAGCAGTTGCGGTATGTGAATGTTCTTTACAATTATATCATTTGTACGTTAATTTGTACACCATATTTTGAATTTCTTCTTGCAGTGTTCAAATAATGGCGTACAGATTGCTCGCAAGAAATCAACCACTATCGCAACATCTTGCTCTTGCTGTACAAGGTAAGTCCCTAGAAATATATTCTATGTAAACTAGTACACTATGAATGACTACTTTGTCTTTTGTATCGCTTTTCGTCGAATTTGTTTGGCTTATTGTAAATAGACTTATTTTAGTCTATTTTTGTCTCTCTGTTTTGTATAATTTTGCTTCCGTTTTTATGTACGTACAAACATTCATATACTACAACTACTGGAATTGCATCTTTAATCTTGTAAGTATATGTATCAATATTAATAGGGGTTGTTTTGCATTACACACAGTCTATTATGTGATATCTGGGGACTATATATGATGCTTGGCATATCTTGCATAATATTATACATTTACTTTTTTACTCTGGAATATGTTACATCATTGAATACTTATTACATTAGCTTAAGGATGTATCTGAGCTATATAAAAATAGTACCAATTTGATAAAACTTTAAATAATTTTTCCTTAATTATCTATAATATACTGAAAAAAATTTCAAGTTGATTCACTAAACCGTTGAAGAATAATTATTATGTTAATTTTACACGTGTTCTTATGGCAAAAGCAACTTTTTTGAATGTAATGAGTAAAAACGTATAGAAAAAATAGTACTAAAAATTTAAGTATTTTTATACATATAGATCTTGAATTATCGGAACTATTTGCAGAATTTGATTAGTTTTCACAACACGGTTTCAGAGAAATTAATTTTTATTTGTGACAATTTTGCGATTGTCGTAAGGAGTTAGTCACGGACTGTGGAAATGCAGCAACGTTGTAATCAGCTGATGTGTCAAACGAATAACCTATAAATCAGTATAATAAAGTTATATCGTAAATTCTTGTTTTGTCTGCATTGTTTCATGCAGAAAGGATAGAGGAAGAATACAAATTAAATAATTTCGATGAACAATAGAATAAGTGTGAAATTTGAGGCTTTTATTGTTTCATCTAACCTGCCTGCACAGTGCATTACTGCCAACGTACAAGCCACAAACTACATAGTACGCTGTTTAACTTTTTTCATTAAATTTCATTTATAATAACAACAAATAATATTGATAGTTATCGTTCAGACAATGCATATTTATCTATTTTAACTTATTCCAATTACTTTTTCTCCTTTACACTGATGAATATTGATGTTAAATAAATACGAAATTTAATGTTCTAAAGTTGAATTCAGGGCATTTTCCCTGCCAAAAGTTTTATTATAGAAAGTTGAAAAAAGCAAATAAAAGTAATAAACTGTTGAGGAAGTAAAAAATAACTTTTTAAATAAGAAATATATTATGTTAACCATTATTTATATCACTTATCACTAGGCTTACAACACGTTTGAAGCAGATATTCAAATTTTTCGTTTTTCAAGCACTTGTCAACAATTGTATCTCAGATACATCTTTAAATATTTCTGCTGTAACTTTATAATAGTTTGATTTTGCTTATTGACGATTTCTATTATGACATTTCTTCTGACATTTATAAAATACACAATCGAAGAATTTAACAAATATATTGTGATATTTTTATAAAAAAGTAGAATAATATTGATAAGCCGAATTTTTAAATAGGTGGAGCTCCACCTCCTCCAGGGATAGGTCAACGCCCTATAGATCCGTCTCAGACCCCTGCTGCAACAGCTGGACCACAAATTCCAGGTCCAAATGTCATTGGTCCTGCAGGTGTGACGAGGTCAAGTTGTCAAACGCCACAACAACAACAACAGCAACCACAACCAGGCACTAAGACCAACAGAGTGACAAGCGTTGCGAAACCGGCTGGATTAGATCCATTGTTGATACTACAAGAAAGAGAAAACAGGTAGAGAACTTGTCAAATAACATATGTAGTATAAATCATATCTTACATCGATAAAAAGATTTAATAATAAAATATGATGTTTGATTGCAGAGTCGCATCTCGTATATCACTTCGGATGGAACAACTCAGTAATTTGCCGACAAATATGCCTGAGGATCTGCGTATACAGGCCCAGATCGAACTACGCATGCTTAGAGTACTAAACTTTCAGAGACAATTGAGATCAGAGGTACTTATTTTATAACATGGAGAATGGAGTTTCCGTTTTATATAATTTTCAGAATATAATGTTTCATTCAAATCTTTTTTTGATTCCTGGTAGATTTTAGCGTGTACTCGAAAAGATACTACTTTAGAAACTGCAGTAAATGTGAAAGCTTATAAACGTACGAAACGGCAAGGATTACGCGAGGCTAGGGCTACCGAAAAATTGGAGAAGCAACAGAAATTAGAAGCAGAACGTAAACGCAGACAAAAACATCAAGTAAGTTTGTTTTATATATTTATATCGTAAATTTTTTGTTTTGCATCAATAGATCCATTATCAATATTATAAAAAAATATATTTGAGTGGAAATATGATTATTGCATATTATTATTTTTGTCATGTTTTCAGGAATTTCTTACTTCTGTACTTCAACATGGAAAAGACTTTAAAGAATTTCACCGTAATAATGTTGCAAAGTTGGCTAGGCTTAATAAAGCAGTGCTTAACCACCACGCAAATGCTGAACGAGAGCAAAAGAAAGAACAAGAACGTATTGAAAAGGAGCGTATGCGTCGTTTAATGGCAGAAGACGAAGAGGGATATAGAAAATTAATTGATCAAAAGAAAGACAAACGTTTAGCATTCTTGTTGTCTCAAACCGACGAGTATATAAGTAATTTGACGGAAATGGTCAAGCAACATAAAATGGAACAAAAGAGAAAGCAAGCTGAAGAACAAAAGCGTAAGAAGGTAATGTCATGTTATGTATTTAAGAACTACGTATTGTTTTAATTAACTATATTAACGAAATATTATATTTATACAGAAAAAGAAGAAGTTGCAAGATGGTGAAACCGGTGAAGATGGTGCGACCAACGATGATACACGTGTTGGTGTAATAGAAACATCCACTGGTCGCACACTCACTGGTGATGAAGCACCTTTAATGAGTCAACTGTCAGCATTCTTGGAAGCTCATCCAGGGTGGGAACCAATTGAATCAGACAGTGAAGAAGATGAGGAAGATGATGAAGAGGATAATGGAAATGAGAGCGAGGATAAATCTGATGGCAAGTTTACAATTTTTTTTTAATTTATAGTTTCCTTCTCATTTATAATTAATTAATTTATGAAATATCTATTAGGCAAGGATAAATCTACTGGCGATTCTGAAGAAGAGAAAGTGAAAAAAACAATACACAAAGCAAAAGTGGAGGATGACGAATATAAAACAGAAGAACAGACGTACTACAGCATCGCACATACCATTCGTGAAGTAGTTACAGAGCAGGCAACCATTATGGTGAATGGAAAATTAAAGGAATATCAGATCAAGGTATCATATCCATTTTAACAAAATATTTTTACATCATGCACAATATTTTATATCAGGATGTATACGGCCTGAAAAAACTTGGAATTGTCAGGGAATTTTATTGGAAGTCGGGGAATTTTTGTGAAATAGAGCAAAATTTGTTCCCCTCTTCTTCTTCTAAACGAAAGGATATATGTGATAGATACTAGATAGAAGGATGAAAGCTGACATCTATGCAACGTACTGATGCGTCCCCTGAGAAAAGTGTATATAACAACATATACATGCGCTTTTTCAGGAGGCGCACCGTGCAGATGATTGGTCTTTTGGCCAGATATTTTATGTGAAAATTTAAAAAATGTTATGCATATGGTGAGGATGACTTGCTATCTCTCTCATGGCAATGTCAACATAGAACGAGGTTTCTCTGTCAATATTGAATGCCTTTTTCAGAACATGCGAGAAGAATCCGTAATCGTTTTTCGTCAAATATATGATGCTATGTTATACCATGGTGGTATTGTTGCCTTACAGATATCTAAAGATCTTTTGCTTAGCACTCGAAAATGTTCATTCTCGCTATATAGAATATTTAGAACGACGTCGACAACAAATATCTGCTGCAAAGCAAGAAATGTCTTTAAAGAGAAAATAGAGTTTAGAAACAAAGAAATTAGAAATTAAACGCTTAAAAATTAAAAAAAATATGCAAAAAGAGGCAGAAGCGCTTTAAGAGCAAATTACAGCTTTAAAAAAATAAGTTTTGTTTTACAATTTTTTCTTAAAATGTTTTTTTATGATTATTTGATCTCAAATATAATTAAATTAAATATAATTAAATTAAATTAAATTAAAATTTAAACTGTAAATTATCTAGTCTTAGGATATTTGTGTTCATTTTTTTTTTAGTTTTTTGATATTTCAGGCATTTTCTTAATTTTCAAATACACATGTTCAAATTCTCACTTTTGACGTCAATAGACAATAGTCAATAGAACAGTCAAAGTGACTACACAGGAGCCTTAAAAGATTATTTTTTATAAGGTAAATATACCAATGTCTGGACGTGTACCTAATTCTGGACTTTTGGTTTTTAAATTACGAATATTTGAATTTTCGATATAAAATAATATACGTATAATTAATATGTATGTATATTCTATATTAAGAGTTCAAATATTCTTATTTAAATACTAAAACGATAACAATGTCCAGACTTAGGTACGTGTCCAACTATTGGTATTTTTACCTTAATATTCAAGCTTTTATCACTTGCTGATGGACAGTGAACATATTAACAGTTATATGTATTAACAGTTACATACATCAAATGTATATTTTCTGTTTAATTTAATTTAATAAACTTTTTTAAACACACAAAAACAGCAAGAATTTTGTGCAATAAATATTATTTACTATATATTATGCAATAAATAAATATTATTTAAAGAAAATTTGTAAAAATTTTTTTTATTTTGCCTGGAATTTTTAACAAGTTATCTGGAAAGTCAGGGAATTTTTTTTTCGAATTTGCGTATACACCTTGTATATGTCTTCTTCTCGGTATGATAAAATTTAATTGATTGTTTTAGGGTTTGGAATGGTTAGTATCGCTGTTCAACAATAACCTGAACGGTATCTTGGCAGACGAAATGGGTCTCGGTAAAACAATTCAAACAATTGCTCTGGTAACATATCTTATGGAGAAGAAGAAAGTCAACGGCCCATTCCTTATCATTGTTCCTCTATCGTAAGTTTCAATTCCATTAAAAAAAAGGTGTTATATAAGGTGTTTGATACAAGACAGTCCAAGGTACATGTGCAGGTAAAATCAACCTATATAAAAAATTCCTTACCACTTAAAATTTCGAGAAACAAATAAGATTGGTAAACCAATGGTTTATAAGCGCGATCTTATCGAAAATGTTTAAGACGTGACTGTTTTTTATCAAAGGTAGATATCGGCTAACAGCTAAAAAAGGAGTAATGATGCGAACGGCGCGTAAACAATTGTTTCTCGACGTATTGTAAGTGTGTCGTATGCGTACAATTAAGAAACAATCGTAAGTTGTTTCAGCCATTTTCGACAAGATCGCATTTATAGAGCTCGTCACAAAATCGCGCGTATTGGTATGTCAATAATGGTATGAAATTCTTTCATTTATTTCTCGAAATTTTATGTAATTATAGATATATATATATATATATATATATATATATATATATATATATATATATATATATATATATATATAT